AAAACAGATAAACATGATCCCTATGAATCCTTGGATATGACTTTTCAGGAGCCAATATGACTCTACTTTCAGATAAACAAGGGTGAATAAGCTTGTCAACAATAGAAACTTGTCTGGGAATTAAATCCAAATAGTCTCCCAGATTAGGGAAAACACAATCTGACCATTGATTAACCTGTCTTTTGTCCTTGATTTCATCTTTCTCATTCCCTCGCTTGATTACAGGTTCAGTTGGTTCCATCTTGATTACAAGTTCATTTGAAACTGAGGATTCAGCCGGATTCCACTCAAGAGTTGGTGTCAATGAAATTTCCCGCATAGAAGCTTGAGCTGACTAGGAAACCTTGGACAAAAGTTTTGATGACCTCTGCAAATCAGTAAAAATTCCTTCTGATGATGATTGAGGATGAGGATTAATTATCGAGCTGGGCAATGTGGTACTCGATCCCGAACATGAGGTAACAGTAGTTCGTGTAGAAGATTTCGAACTGGAGGAAGTCCTTCGTGACCTCGAGGATTCTTTTCTTTCTGTCCTTCCTGTCTTCTGCCGGTGTTTAGGTGGGAAATCCTTAATCAAATCTTCCTTTAGAGCCTCCCAACTATCTTCTCCCTTCTGAAAATCCCACCATTGAAACCAGCCATCTGCGGCTTCCCCCATTGCCTTTGCTGCCATGTCCACTTTAAATCTTTCTGCAATAGCTTGGACTCGAAAATATCTTTCCATCTTCTCTATCCATTCGTACGCTTCATCCTCGTAGAATAGAGGTAATTTCTCCTTCTTTGAACTAGTTGACTTCCGATAAGCCATTTTAGAAGAAGAATGCGAACTGATGTTCATTGAGGAAATCTGAGAACTCTGATGCGAAGAACGATGATAAGAGTGCTGTGAAGAACTCTGCGAAGAACGATGGGAAGAACTTTGTGAAGAACGATGGAAAGAGCTTTGCGAAGAAACAGTGCGCGAACATGTCTGCGATGGCGGATGAGGCTTACTGTTCCTCGTTCGGTCGCCAGGTTGTCTGCGATGCCTCCGCTCTTCTAATTCCTCTGGACTCGCTGACCTTCGCGTGTGAGGATGATGAGATTCGCCCTGCGATGCGTTTGACGCATGCGATCTATTCCGCAATCGACTCTGGACTGTATTTTCCAGCCTTGCGATGTCCGTCTTTATGACTGCCAAGGTCGTTGCCATCGACGCCATTTTTGCCGATGTTTCTTTTTGTTTTCTTTCCAGGTCGTTAATTCTCCCTTCCATTTTGCACGCGAGTATCTCAACCAGCGATCGAAGTCTCTGATACCAATGATAGGATCCTCCAGAAAATACAGCAATTACAGGAAATTACTATCAAGAAACAATTGGAAATTCTTATTAAGGAAGATGAACAGTACAATATCTATGGCCGAAGCCCCCAATAGAGCCGAAGCCCCCCAAAAGAAAGAGACAGAGCTCTAACTTCCCAGTCCAGACAAAAGTCCCAAAAAGCCCCCTCTCTAACTCCCCCTTTCCGTCTATTTATACTCCAATACTCATGTACCCTTATTGCTAATATAGTAATATTATTATTATTACTTCTATTATTAATCTAATAGGTAGGTCCCTATCACCTTTTCACTTGTCCTTGTGTAAAAACCAAACTGAAAAATATTTATACTCAATCTGAAAGTGATTTAATTCTTTAACCTTTGTCCCATAAACTGCTAAAGTTAAGAAAATGCCCATATTTTAGTGAGAGGAATTGGAATTCAGTTTCAGCAATATTTAAGCCTGGTTTAGTAAAGTACTGCATGCTCAAATAGGTTCTCCATCCATCACCAACTTCCTAAACTTTGCTTGTTGAGGGGATGTTTACTTGAGACTTAATGGATCTAATGGTTCAATTATTAAGTTATGTTTACTTACAGTGAAAACATGGCATGTTTATTCAGTCAAAAGCTGTCGTAATCACAAGTTGTCGTATGGTATTCCTGTTCGTTAAGACGCTTAATAAGACGTTTATTCAACCATTTTTTAAGCTGGCTGGCCATGTAGCAGATGAATGTTAAAATGGAAAAAAATGTATGTTAAAATGAAATTACTCGTCCACAATATAAACAGCTCTTGAGTTAGTTATTGATGAATTGGTTAGACTTATCTTTTTTTAGTTTTTCTTTAAATAAACACATGTTTAGACAACTCATACTGAAATATGGATACTGGAGTACATGAGTCACTTGAACAAATTGAAGCAGTATAGCAGTAAGCCCATTATACAAACCGGCTGTTGTGTGCATTAAGTGTTTTTTCTTTTCATCAAGGGAAAAGACTTCATGGTGTAAAACTAAGCTAATTCCATTTCCTAAAAAACACAGGAAGAAAATGTAAGCATGAAACTAACAACAATACAAACATAACAAATAGAGTCATCTTTTTAACATAGATTATGTACAAAAAAACATATAGTCTATGTTTACAAAAATGTAAAGCGAGATTCATCTATTTAAAATTCTTACACATGCTTCAGTTTCTTAGTATTTATGTAATACATACGGAGTATAAATAAACAAAAATGAATTCAAACAAATATTAAACATAAATTAGAAAGTTTGAACCAGTGCTCTCTTTCAGCATTTTCTTTCCTTCAAAAGCTAAGGGTCTGTTTACTAACAGAGATATTTTTCAGTTTTCTAGAAAACTGGAAAACAGAAAACACGAAACGTGTTTACCAAAGAAAATTGCTGGAAAACTGGAGAAAGGAAAATAGAAAAACACGTTTACCAAATCGTTTTTCAAAACGAAAAAAATGAGACATGTCTCTCTTTTCCTTAATGATTTGGAGAAGTGATTTTTACTAGTTTTCCAAAGAGATATTACCCAAAATAGGACTAAAAAGGTTTGAAAATTCCAAAATAAGATTTCCATGTTTTTATTCCTAAAATAAGACTAATTACTTTTATATTTTGGCAGTACCAGACTTCAAACATGACAATATTTTCCAAACTTGGCAGTAATTACTCCTTTTTTGGGAATAAAAAACATGACAGTCCTATTATGGAATTTCCATACTGTTTTAGTCCTATTTCGGGAACTTTCCCTTTTCCAAATTTGAAAAACACAGATGCTACAGTGCTGACGCAATGAATTTGCATACTTATACCTAGTGGTGGGTTCGGTCCCGCTCCGATGTCGATTCCATTCTGCTACATCCATCCTCCTACCTTACCCCTTACCCCTACACTACCCTACGACCTAACCCCCACCCCGCATACCTCTTTTCCCTACAATGACCCTGCCCCACCCCCTCCACATGCCCTACCTCGGCCCCACCCCGATCCACCCTACCCTACCGCCACCCCCCTACCACCTCGACCCCACCCCCAACCCTACCCCCACCCCTCGTATATTACCCCTTACCACGACCCCACCCCACCGCCATCCTACCCCCCACCCTACTCTTCTCCTACCTCGGCCCCACCCTACCGCCATCCTATCCCAACTCCCTGCCCTATCTTACCCCAACCCAAACCCTAACCCACTACCCCCACCCTACCGCCACCGCCATCCTACCCCTCCCCTACCTCGGCCCACCCTGGTCCCCGGCCCCACCCTACCGCCATCCTATCCCAACTCCCTACCCCTACCTTACCCCAACCCATACCCCTACCCACTACCCCCCACCCCTTACCCCTAACCACGACCCTAACCCACCCACTACCCCACCCAACCCCCTACCCCTAGACCTTACCACCCCACCCCGACCATACCCCTTACCCCCACCCCCACCCCTACCCCCACCCCTACGAGTAGGTATGAAGGGGTTGTAGGGGAGTATGTGTAGTGTAAGATCGTGGTAAGGGTAGGGGTCAAGGCCTCAAGGGTGTGGAATTGGGTGTGGGATGTAGGGTGGGGGTACGACGTATAGGCTAGGGGTTAGGGGTATGGGTACACGTACGAGATGATCGACTTCACATATTATATTATATATTTGTGTTCATGAATGTTTGTGTGTCTATATATGTATATGGTTATTTTGAACATTTTAATGTGAAACGGTGTTTTAAACCTTTGGAAGTAAACATGACTTTACAACATTGCTTATTTTATGCGCCGCTTATTAACGCGAGTCTTAATAAACACCGTTTAGTATCCCGTGAACGTGAAGTAAGGTTGTAAACGAATCAAATAATTTTGATTCGATTCGTGATTCGAATTCAAAAATGCCGATTCGAATTCGAGTAAATAGAATACGGATACGGATACAAATCTATTTTTTGATTCGAATACTTTACGAATACGAATACAAATACTATGATATTCGATTCGAATAGTATTCGAATAATTCCTCATACAATATATACTACTTCCTATGAATACAATAATACATATAAATCAATGTAAAAATATTAATAACATAATATTCATGTAAATGTTTTGCATATTTTAATTTAAACATTCTTACTTTACCAAGTCAAAATAGCTTAATTTACAATTAAAATTCTCCATTGATTTATTTATATTGATATTAAATTTGAAGTGACATGTATAAATGTATTTTGTTTCCTATGAAATACAAGTATGTAACATGAAAATGAGTTAAAAGGGGCAAACTATACATCATAATTTTAATTATTTTCACAAATTAAGTTTAATGTTTTTCGAATTCGAATATTCGAATTTGATTCGAATATATTCAAATATATCAAATGAATCGAATACGAATACAAAATAAGATTCGAATTTTAAACGAATACGAATATTCGATAATTATACGAATACGAATAATATTATCAAGCATTCAATTCGTTTACAACCCTACCGTGAAGTAAACGTGTCCTCAGTCTTCTGGATGATCACAGAACCGGGTGAAAAAATTGATGAACATGTTTTCAAATTTGAAAATGGAAAACTAAAAAATAAAAACAGAAATTGGAGATAGAAAAACTGAAAAATAAAAACAGAAAATTGGAGAACGAAAAACAGAAGTAGAAAACACGAAAATATCTCTGTTAGTAAACAAGCCCTAATATTTTCTGTCTAGCATTCTAGCATATTCTTCAGAGAGAGGGAGGGAGGGAGGGAGGGATTGAGGGAGGGAGGGATTGAGGGAGGGAGGGAGGGAGAGTTCAAGGACATTGCATTGTGAATTTGTGATGAGAAAGTCCTCTGTTATTTTTGGTGATGTCAGAGAGCTCTCTGTACAATGTGCCTTCATCATCAACACTAAGCAGCAAAGTGGAACTAAGTAAGAACAACTTATCAACATACACACATCTATTGATCTATGTATCTAACTACCAAAAGCTATCTTCTTCATCATCATCCAGTTCAATAATTTGCGCTTTCCACCTCCTCCTCTCAGCAGCTTTCTTTCTGATGAAGATTCCCCATCTCAATGCTGCTTTAAGCTTCAACCAACCAACAACAGCTTTCCCTGATGGTGATGATGATGATGATGAACATGACCTCCGATTATCTCCCCCAGACTGATAGGCCGATGAAAGCATATTGGGTGATGACATCATCACAGTGTATTTTAAAGATGATGCATAAGGATCGGGGTTGTCCCGACACTCTTCTCTGACATCCTCATCATTATGATTTCTGGTAGTAGAAGCGTGACTGTGGTGGCCACCCATGCTGAAAGTACGGAGGAGATGTTGCATGTCTTCATTTTCAAGCATCTCATGACTCCTTAACCTTAATTCTTCCTCTGTCAAGAAGTTATTATGATCACAAGGGAAGCTCGTCGTGGCAGTTGGAGGAGTCAGAAAATTCTTTAAGGTTGAAGACGGTTGAGGTGTAAGAGCCATCGCAGTCTGTGGTGCCATACATATCATAGACTGATTCACAAAAGGAACATTTATGCGACTCATGTTCTGGTGAGACTGCATTGCAACTTTCCCACTCAAACTGTCAATGTACCCTGACGAAATAGAAGAAATGAAAGGTTCAAAGAGCTTGTTGTGAAGCATATAACTCATATAACTTACTTTTTTATTCAAATAAACCGTCAGAATTTGGTAGATGTCACTTAACTAGACCATAAGGCACTTGGGCAGGTCAAAGCATATAAAAAGATTGAATCAAATTTATTAGCTAGTTGCCTAGTTCAACCTAAGGTCTTGTTGCATATTGGACTGTCCTCCCTCCAAAACTAAAACTCGAAATGTGACTCATAGGCCACTCAGGATTGACTCAATACACACAAGTGGATATACATAGTGCGTCAAAACCTGCTTTGATACCACGATTGAGTTCAGAATTAGATAGGGGTTACTCAACTCGGCCACAAGGCATTTGGGCCAAAGCACACTACAAACTCGAATACATTCTTCTAGCTAGTTCAGCCCAATATTTTATTAATTAATCATTCTCTATTTAGTTTTCTGATGTGCAACATTAACATAAACTATTAGTCATACTTAATAAATAGAATATTAGTTTAGAATAAGATCTTGTTTGAAACTTTACCTCCAACGTTTGGGGGTTCCAGGGCCACAGAAGGCTGACATGAAGACGGGAGAGTTGGTAGACAAAGGCGATTAGGGAGAGAGTGTGAAGGGTTGTGTGAAGCAAGTAGGGGGTCATTTGGAGAAACTGAACTCTTATTGAGGTTTAAGAGTGATTTGCCATCATATTCAACCACATGCATCCAATTATCATAGGCCTTCTTCACTAAGCTGTCCACATACACCTGCCAAGAAATGGATTCACTCATTGTCAGGCTTACGTGCTAAGAGTTGTAATACTATGTCTGAAATGCTGAAATGGTAGGGAAAGAGAAAAAAGCTAAGGAAAATAGCTTTGTTATGTTTTGTATAGCATTAAAAATATAAAGGAAAATTAAGTTTGATTAAGTTTTATTTATTTATTTAAATTTCAGATTTCTCCATCTTTACAGTTGAGATATAAAAATAAAATGAGTGTGAGCATATATTAAAAAAGGAGTTCAACTATTTTTAACCCATCCCTCATTTCTCTGCTTCCAAATTCCCCTATATTTCCCATGCTTTCTTTCCCTTGCATTTTTCAAAGTTCCAAATAAACCCTGATGGTGGTAGAAGATGGAAGGAGAAACATGATGCAAATATTTCAGAATGAGAAGAAACATTGCTTGCAGTATAAGTTTGAAGCAAACCTTTTGATTATCGGAAAGAGAATCAATAGAATTATAGTGTCCACCAGCAATCAGTCCGCAAAATTCATAGATATGGTTAAATAGAACCCCGATATTCCTCGTGTCGTCAGGATAATATACATAAAGTTTACCGCTTAGAACACATGTCTTTGCATGCTCCACGAGAGTTTCCCACATCTTGTTTGACATCCCACTTCCCATTATCTGAGTTAATATTATGAATGAAATAATACTAAGTAAAAATGAATTACATGCCAAATTTAAAGTTTCTCAACAGAAACCCCCCCACTATTTGTGTCCCAAAAAAGAGTTGCATTTTCAAGTTACAACATTTAATTTCAGTAAGGTACAACTATTGGAAAACATCAATTCTAGCTATACTCTAAATATATTTTTCAGTTATACTAAAATTTCCATTTTGTGACTTTTCCTTCTGAAAAATTGCAATAAGTGAATTAAAAAAAAAAAACTTATTTTGCTTCTGTCTTTTTGTGCAAGGAGGGAGTATTACTATCCATGCTCACTCTTACCACATTAAACAAATATAAAGATACAAGTTTACATATAAAGTCTTGACTACACATTATATTAGGTTAACCTTATAGGATTGAAGCCCAAGTCTTAGTAATACTTACATGCCGAAGCTGTTGTGTGTCTCTGATAGCAAGTCGTAGAAAGTCTTCCACCGTGCGTATTCCATATTTGTTTAGCCTCTTGTGAAAAGATCCATCCTTACCTATCTTTTCCAACCTCCATACTTCATCATTCAATGAAGGAGGGTAGTGTTTCTTGTACACTGCAAATACGAAAAAAGAAACGCCATTATAGTTAATTAATGTTAATGTTACATACTAAAGTTTAACTTACAAAGGTGCAAAATACACACATTCTCCTCTGTGATCTTTGACAGTAAAGGCCTCGGTTTTTGCCTCTCGAATCCGAATGCTCTCACAATGCCAACCTGGTGAAGCCTTCACACCTAATCTGAACTTTCTACTCCTGATCCAGCTAGAGTTGTCAGTGAAAGTCAATTCACCAACGGTGCCTACCCCTTCCTTTAAGGTCACTTGCAGGTCCCCAGTAAGAAGTGGCCTCTTCCCTTCACGCTCTTTCACTATGTGAGACTCAAACTCTTCTTGACTCCACCCTTCATCATCTTCATAGTTGAAATCTCCTTCTAGGGCAACAATGTCCAGTTTGGCTGAGGATTCTGGACCTGATGTCACAACACATCCAGTTTCACCATCAAGCAGAACAACATGAATGGCAGAACCATGTTCTCCCTCTACCTTTCCTCCTGTGAAGAGGGGTAGGGACAGTTTGGACCTAAAGTGGAGTTTTAAGCTTCTAACACCTCGCCCTTCTATTCTTTCTGGAGAAACCCTGTTCAGCGAGGCATAATAAACTCAGTACTGAATTGGAAAGAAGTAGGATAAAGCTGCTGTTGTCATCAACGTGACCATATATATTTTACTATAAAGTTATATTTTATTGCAGATTTTTACCAAACTATACCTATACCTAAGTACAAGCAGCAAAGCGCTCTAACTGGTAGCATTCATAGCAAAATAAATGTATACTCCTTCCCGTTTTTAAATTTAGGACAATTTTTTTTATCACCTTAAAACGTAAATACCGGCATTTTCAACACCTAGTTTGAATGGAGGGAGTCCAACCATTTAACCAATATAGCTTCCTTATAGAAAATTAAAGAGTCATTCAAAAAAGGGGGAGATAAAAGCCATGTCCTGAAAATCTGAAATAGTTTTTGAGTTGAACTACTGAAGCCTACCTTGAGTTATGTTTGGCATGACCCAACTTTGCTAAAGCGCGCTCCACTTCTTCACTGACCTGGTGCATACATAATAAAAGCAAATGTAGTGATTAGTGAATTATTTAGCTCAAGAAGAGTTCTATTCTTCCTTTCCATGAATATATGATCTATACATGCACGTTGGAATAATGTTTAAGATTCTAATTTAATTATGGGATAGCACAGGTTTCATCATAATACATAAACCATTGGAGAAACAAAGATATCTATGAACAAAACTGAATTGTTCAATGGTTGATCTAAATTTCGTCAAGTAGTAATCTCATAATAAGCACACAGATTTCAGGAAGGCCATGCGATCTTACAACTCTGCGAAGAATTGGCTCCAGTGATGAGCAAAGTTTTTGCATGCTGTCAACCTTCAGAGCTTCAACAACCGCACTGCACTAAGCACATAATCTTCAGCAACAATTCGAGTTTAATGACTCATGATACTTTATGGGATAAACAACTGATTGCTTTAGGCTGCATTTGGAACTAGGGAAATGCTATGACAAGGAAAATGGAGAGTAAATTATAGAAGAATTTTGATGGAAATGAAGTGTAAAAGACAAAGGTTCAAACTGAATAAACTTATGTTTATTATTTGCTCTAATTTATTTCTTATTATGAATACTAAGAATCTAAACATTAAGAAAATAAGAAAATAACTTAGCATTTTCCTTTACTCCATTTTCCTAGATCCAAACATAACCTTAAGGTGCACTCAAGAATTTGAAGCAAAGTATTATAACTATAAGGAAACAGGGGCAGTATTGGATTTTAGAACCAAATGAATTGAAGAAAGTCAGGCTATATATACTCTATATAAAAATCTCTATAAGTCTTCTTTTAGAGAACAACCATCTTGGCTGAAGATCAGGGTTAACACACACAAGCTTGAATCTAATGAAAGAGTTCAGTCTTCAGTCCATATAATTGTCAACTGTTTAGTGTCAAATTCTAAAGTGAAAAGAAAGCAAATTTCATCTTGCTCCAGCAACTCAAGAAGACAAAAGAACCCCAAATCAAGAAAGCACATACTTAGCTTTTCTGATTTATTAAAAAAGTGATCTTTTTGTTTTTAGTGAACTTTATGAGTTGAAAACAGAAGTTACCTGGCAAGGGCAGGGCGTTTTTTAGCAGGCTGAGATTCTTCAGTGCAACCCGGATTAAGAACCCGTTTTTCCCGAACCATACTGGAAGATCTTTCCATATACCTTGTCTGCATTTTCCCGGAAAGGATTAACACTCCCTCAAACAACTCTTTTTCAGACTCGGGATTTGAGTAAATTACTTAAATAATGAATACCATCAAAAAATCAACGGCACCTCAAAGTAAGGAAATAAATAATTTGATGAAAGATTCCCAAGGGATGATAAAAGGCTGAGAGAGCGGAAAGGAAGAAGGGAGGAAAGCGGGAAACGAAATTGAAAGTGCAGAGAAGAGGGTTGCTGCTTTCCAGGTTACTTCATCCGTTGCAACCTCATACTTTGCGGTCGGTCTTCACTCCAGTGGCCCCGCCCGCTACAATTAAACAAAACAAAGGTGATAACTCTACTTATTATTCATTTGATTGGATCACATCATTTTATCATTTTTAATTTAGATTTAAATAATTTAACTGTTACATTTTCATTGGTCCATGTGTACAAAGGTATGGTACCTTATAGGTACCATAGAATCTACCTTAAACAAAATATGTACGTAGTACGTAGTATGCAACTGTTTTAGTGTTTTTCCATTAAACTTATGAAATAATTACATATTTATGATTAAAATAGAGTTTGACACATGAAGGATAACATAATTATTTGTTTCCTTAAATTATATCTTTATCTCACTAACATTGACACAAGAAGGATGACACAGTTATTAACAAAAGTGAGTTTGTGTAATTGATAGTGAATTGATGAAATAAGAATAAAGAAAAAATGATTTAGAGTTACACAAATTTTACCAAATCTGATATGTGACAATCTTAACGAAACATACTGAAAAGGAAAATGAGACAATCTTAGCGGGACAGAGGAAGTACTAGTTAATCGATCCGTGCAATATTATTACTTGCCTACCGACTCGTACGTTTCACGGATAATAGATGAATTTAATTTATTTTTGAAAATAGATCATTTTATGAGTAATTTGCACATACACACTGATGAATAATTGCTACCCATACTATATTATTTAGGAGAGATTATTAATAGTGTAATTAATACTTTAATTAGGTTTCCTTATTTATTTAGTTTCCTAATGTACACAGAACTCTTATTATTATATATATGACATATAGGCTACCACATTGGGTATGCCTTTCCATTATTTTCACATGATATCAAGAGCCTTAGGTTTTTTTTTCCGATGGCTTCTACTATTGCTTCCGCCGCCGATACTGTTCCCGCTCCCAGCACCGCCGCTACCACCACGCCGACATCTGAAGTGCCGGTCTTGAGCGAAGCTTCGCATGGCGGATCCCTGACAGCGCCGCTGCAGTCCGACGTTCTTCATCACCACATCTCGGGCTCGCCGCTAGAAACCCCTTGGGTCCCGCCAATATTTACGTGGACATCGACGCAGCCTACAATCCGGCCACCTCCCTGTTCAATCTCGACTCCCAAGCCGAATCCAGCAGTGCCGCGGATGTACGAGCGCGATTTGGTGGTTCCACTCTCTCTGGCACTCCGGGTTTGCTGATGCCTTCTATGACCGAGCCTATAGGTCGGCGCCAACCTGATAATTCTATTCCAGTTTCCTTCTCTGTTTTGGCACAAGGCATGACCCTTTGATCAGCAATCAGTCAAATTAATACCACAAAATTGTTGGCTGTTGAAGATTATTTACCATGACGCACTCAATTTGAATCGTTCTTGGTAGCGAAAGGTGTTTTAGGGATTCTCGATGGTTCACTTCCGGCTCCGCCTCTTTATACCTATGATTTGTATCAGGCTCCTATGATGAATCCTGAATATTATCATTGGTTAAAATTGGATCAAACTATCCGCGCTTGGTTGTTTGCTACTCTCTCCCGCGAGGTTTTGATGGAAGTTCACACTCTTAAGAATTCCACAACGATTTGGCAAAAGTTGGAATCCCGGTTTTATGGTGGCCAATCTTGCTCGTTCCATGGAGTTAAAACATCAGTTGTCACACACACAAAAGAAGGCTAATCAGTCCATGGAGGAGTATGTTCGTGGAATTCAGATGATTGCGGACAATATAGCTTCAATTAATTCCCCGGTTTCTGATTCCGATATGTTAAAACATACACTTTATGGATTAGGACCGGGTCATGAATCGCTTGTTGGACCGCTTACACTCTTTCCCGAAGGACTTACTTATGACAAATTATGCACCAAGTTGGTCCATCAAGAGGCGCGATTACAATACCAACAATCTCTGGAATCATCGGTTGGTGCACCTGCTTTCTCAGCCAACACCTCGGCTGGAGGAGTTCAGGCCGTTGCTCATGCTACCGGGCAGCAGCAGCCCTATCGGGGGGCGTGGAGGTGGACGTGGGCGCGGACGCGGGCGTGGCCGTTGACGTCATCATCATCAGCAACCGGCGTACGGCCAGCAGCCACAAACGTACGACCAGCAGCCGCAGGCGTACGACCAGCAGCTCCAACAGTTCGGCCAGCGTCAACCGTACCAGCAACACACTTCTTCTGGCCACGGACATCATTACAACAATTCTTTGGGTCAAGCGGGTACAGTCTTTTGTAATACAGATGCGTCATCGTTTTATACTCCTACACTATATACGTTTTGTACTAACAGTGTTTCTGCAGGATTCCCGTCTTTTGAGAATAATTTTGGTTCCGTACCACCACGCGTTGTCTGCCAAATCTGTCATTCTCCAGGTCATTCTGCTGTCTCGTGTCCTCATTTTGCTCAACCTCCTACTCCTGCATTAGTTGTTCCTAATAGTGAATCCACTCCGGCTGTTTGGTATCCTGACTCCGGCGCTTCCGCTCACATGACCGCCATTGAAGGTATTTTAGTCAATAAATCTAGTTATTCTGGACCACTTTCTATTACAATTGCGAATGGCTCTACTTTACCTGTTATGACTGTTGGTGACTTGCATCTGTCTACTCCGCCTCGATCTCTCCATTTAAAATCAGTTTATCATGTTCCACATCTTAAAAATAATTTACTATCTATTCAAAAATTATGCGCCGATAATAATTGTTTTGTGATATTTGATAAAAACTCTGTTTGTGTTAAGGACACAATTTCGGGGAAGGTGCTTCTTCAAGCTTCCAGTAATGGTGGTGTCTACCTCATATCACTTTCTCCCTGCTCAACTGTTGCTCTCGCCTCACATGTTGTTCCTGGACCAGTCTGCCATCGTCGGTTGGGACATTGTGGCAATCATATTTTAGATAGACTTAGGAAGTCTGGAACTATTCTAAGTACTTCGCACTTTTCTCATGATTGTATTTCTTGTCGTTTAGGAAAATCACAACGATTACCTTTTCAAGAAGTTTGGCATTAATCTACTGCTCTGTTATTTTTTATTCATTCAGATGTTTGGCAATCTCCTGTTCTTTCTGCGAGTGGCTTTAAATATTATGTTTTATTTATTGATGATTTTTCTCGTTTTACATGTCATTATCCTATGCGCCGTAAAAGTGAAGTTGTGAGTCATTTTAGAAATTTTAAATTAATGGTGGAAAATTTATTTAATTCTAAAATTAAATTTTTTCAAAGTGATGGTTTTGATAATCATGGTATGCGTGAAATTTTTCTTAGCAATGGCATTTTGTTTAGGAAATCTTGCCCTGACACTCCTGAACAAAATTGTATAGCTGAACGTAAACATTTACTTGAACTAACTCGCACTATTCTTCTTGAAGCAAAAATGCCAGCTAGTTTTTGGGCCGATATTGTGTTTACCGGTACCTATATTATTAATCGTCTCTCCACTCCTAATTTAAATGGTGCTTCTCTGTTTGAATAATTATTTCACCACTCACCCGACTTCTCTTTTATGTGCGTCTTGGGTTGTGCCTGTTTTCCAAACTTTATTCCACCTCTGCAAATAAATTATCTCCACGGTCTATTTTGTGTGTCTTTTTGGGATATGCCCCTGAGTACAAAGGTTATCGTTGCTTCGATCCTATTAGTGGCAAGATTTACATCAATAGGAATGTTCGATTTTATGAGGATATTTTTCCATATTCCGACTTGATTTCCTCCTCAAAAACTGCTACTTTGCCACAATTGTCGTCGTCTAATACTGTTCAGTTACATGAGAGCACTTTACCATCCTCCATTCCTGCCCATACCAGCCGCACTCCCTCTTGCTACCCTCGGCCGAGTCTCGAGCCTGCTGTCAGTCACCATCCTCTATCCTCGGCCGAAGCACTGCCTGACCATGACCTCTCCATTAACACTACCGGCCGACCACACACCCCAGACCCCCGTCCTCCTCTACCATCTCCTGGTCCAGTTCAACACCCAGCACGCCCCAAACTTCATCCCCACAGTCCGTCCCCCATCTGCCCGAGTGACGTGCACTTTGTCGTGGTGTGCAGTCAAAATAAATATCAATACAACAATTATACGTAGTATAATGAAGTAAGGTTCGTATCCATAGGGAAAGGAATATTTCTCTTTTTATATAACTAGTAACAAAAGGGGGGGTTTAGGTTTGAGTGATTTAATTTAATTAAATACAAAGATGAACGACTTATATGAGTTTAATTAATTGAGATTCAGACTTGGTTTTGCTTTTTTCCACTTAATGAAATGTTCATCGATCCCGGTTATATCTTTAACTATCTTCCTCTCGAATACTCAATCGAGGAGTATATCCAGTTCATCGAGGGTAGTTATTAATAACGAGACGCGTTCATTAATAAAACTTACCACCGAGTTAATATAGAACACGCGCCGTATATTAATCTGATAGTAGCAATAAAATCAAGATGAAAACGATTGAGATTGATAACCTCAACGCAAGCGGTTTATTGGTTTAATCAACATAATTAATTCCCCTTGGTTTATTAACCATGAAACGCATGCATTAATAACCCAAGTTTACTACTGTGAAACGATCGAACGATTAACAAGCGTATTCATCGATCGATTCTAGTAATAATTAATATATGAAACAAAACTAGTTGATCCTTTAAGTAATGTTCAAAATATTAATATGAAATATGAATAGGAATTAATTAATACTCAAGGAAGAATATTAAAGAAGATGAATCCTACTATAGTTAGTATCAAGATGTTAACTAGTTGTCATCTTAGTAACACTCCCCAATATTAACATAGAGGAAGAAATAACTATTACTATAACTAATGTTAAGATGTTAATTAATTGTCATCTTAGTAACACTCCCCAACATTGATATAGAAATAGTATTTAAAGGAAGAATTAATATTCAAGGAAGAAGATTAAAGAGAATAACTCATAACTTACAAATTCATTAAGCTTCAAAGTAGCAAAACCAAGATGGAAGAGTTTAGCTCCTCATTTGGAG